CCCAGCTTGTTCATGTTCTGCTAGAGTTTTAAAGCGTTGAGCTGGCTTTGGAACTCATCAAACCTTCTGTCGCGGGCGCTACCCCCAGTATGTGACATTCCTAGCGATGTCTTGGAGGAGTAATCGGAATGTGGACCGACATTATCCTCCATTTCAGTCGCTGGGTGGGGAGGGGGCCCCCACTCTTTACTCCCCGTCGGCCGCTGTAAGGTGTGCGGGGCTCTCTTCTTCTTCTTCTTCTTATTTAGAAGTTGTTCCAACATTTCCTTTAAAGAGTCGATGGTTGATTGTTGCTCTTCGAACTTCTTGGAAACCGTCTGATCATTCATAGTGTCAGCAATGTGTACTCTTGCCAGTGCGTCCTGACTCGAATGCGAGTTTTGGGACGTGGCTGCTGCTGAGTAAACCTCGTCTTCACCGCCGGAGGGATGTGCTAAGGTTGAGTAATCAAACCTAATGCTCACCCCGTGCGACTACGTGTACGCTGGAATATACCGCCTTGTTCACTTTGAACAAGTGGATGATTAGGCCCCAGGAAGGAGTCCGAATCTGGAAAACCAGAAAGCACGACCTTACCTTTGTCCGTCATGTTGATTGTAGCGGACGGGAGCTCTAGATCATCAGCAGTGGGTTTCTTCCGGCGATGCCGCCTCCGACTCGAAGATCTCGGCTTTGGGGGCCGTTGAGCGAGCCTTTCGAATACCGAGGGCCTCGCCGCTTCCACACACTGGCAGTCAGTGAGTACTGCTTGAATGAGTCTCTCACAGTGACATTGCGGACTCACTTCTTGCATAGTGTGTTTGCGAGTTAGGCACCCTCGGAGATCTTCCGCAGGTGGTTGGTGACAACCCCCAGGGTCAAATGGTTCAGCTAGATGACCGCATGATTGGGGTTTGGATGAACCTCCTTGCGCACCCCTGGAGGAGTGTTTAGGTGTTGGAGTTGGGTGGATTCACCTTGACAGGCGAGTTGCCACACTCGGGCGAGTTTGCGCCTGTTGGCGGACCTCGTCTACCCGCTCATGTGGGCGGACTTGGGATGTCTCGCCTACTGCTTTGCCTTTATTGTGAAAGCTTGTTTGATCGTGACATCTCTCTATTGAGCGGACTTGACGTGGCTCGCTTGATGTCGGCGGTTTGTCTGTCTGAGCAGACCCGCCTGAGTTGGGCAGTCTGTTCGCTTCAGGGATGTGACCTGAGAAGCAAAATCCACCTGTTTTGGCGAACCCGCCTGGAGCGTTGGATTCGACAGAATGGGAGATGTTTTGGTCAGGGAGGATCCCGCCTGAGCGCGAGAGTGAACCTGCTTTGGTGATCTCTTCAGCCTTGGAAGGGCTAAGTCTCCGTCTCGTGTCCTTCAGACCCGAATAATAGCTCAGGCCGTCATGCGAGGCGAAGGTTTGAGCCTTCTACCGGGCGAGGAGCTGTCGTTACCGCTGCTGGGCTCTTCTTGAGAGAAGCGTCGGCTTGGTCCGTGCCAGAGCGAACCTCTGTTTCCTCTTGGACGGAGGTTTGTGAGGGTCGTTTGGAGACCCATTTGGTGATATTTCGCCTAGTGTTCCGGGCCTTCGGTTTGTCCATGATCGATTTTGGGGATGTTTGACTCCCTGCCATGACTCGGATGGGGTCCTCGAGCGTGGGGGCTTTGACCGTTTGAGGTCGGCCTCTACGCACGACTCGGTGATGTTTCCGAGACGCGTCGCCACCAGAGGAGGAGGAGGACAAGTACTCTTCGTACTTGGCCTGGTCAAACTTGATTTCTAGGGATTCCACGGTTGTCCCGACAGGAACCTCATCGAATTGAGCTACCACCATTTCTGTTGAGGAAACAGCTTCTCCCACTGTGGTCGCCATCTTCTGTAGGTGTAAATTTTAATCTCCCGAAATAGGGATTTCGTTTGTATTGATAAGAATAGCTTATTACAAACTAATGAATCGAAATTACAACAGAAGCGGAGGGGGGCCCTCCTTGTTTAACGTGAGGACTTTGGTAGCGATAGGACGCCTCGCTCGGTTCTCGCACCGAGTCTGCTTCCCTTGGACGATTCGACCGAGGTTGCTGGTGAGCTTCAGTAAGCAGTAGAAGCTCGTGCTAGTCGAGTTCGTGTTTCCGAGTTCGATGACGATTAGGGCCCGAAGCTAGGAGAGGATGCTACAGTACAAAAGTTATGCAAAGAGCTTGTCGTCAACTCCGTTGAGAGTTGAGAGGTGTGGTTCAGCTGACTAACTGACTTAATCAATTAACTATGAGCCAACCGAACCTCTTTTCTTCTTAAATAGAGGAGAGACGGCGTGGTCACTCCTTAAATCAGGGGATATGACCATGTACTGTTGGGATATATCATGCTTCTTACTTGTACCATGAGCGGCTGCTTGATAGGCTCGGAGCGCTGCACTCTTCCCCATCACGTCGTGGGAAATGGGAAGGTCCATCACTGTACGCGTGATACTACGACTGTCACGTACTCTGACTAGTTCGGCGAGCTTACTGATCGTGGGCGAGTTCAGCTCTTGACTCGTGCAGGCGAGGCGAGCTTCATGCAGGCGGACTTGACGATTGTATGGATTTGACCAATCACTCGTACTATGAGCGGCTATTTGATGGGCTCGGAGTACTGTGCTCCTTCCCTTCACGTCGTGGAAATGGGAAGGCCCATCCCTGTACGCGTGATACTACGGCTGTCGGGTACTCTGGCTAGTTCGGCGAGCTTACTGATCGTAGGCGAGTTCAGTTCTTGACTCGTGCAGGCGAAGCGAGCTTCATGCAGGCGGACTTGGCGATTTCATGGATTTGACCAACCACTCGTACTGTGAGCGGCTATTTGATGGGCCCGGAGTATTGTGCTCCTTCCCTTCACGTTGTGGGAAATGGGAAGGCCCATCCCTGTACGTGGTATAGCAGCCGCCAAGTATTCTGTCGAGTTTGGTGAGTTTGCTGTTTGTAGGCGAGTTCGACTCTTGGCTCATGCAGGCGAACCAAGTAAGCAGGCGGATTTCAGTCGCTTGGATGATGTTGACTCGTGCGAGTCTGTGATCACCAAATGCGGGTGAATTTGGTGATCGCGTGGTCTTTGCTCGTGCTGGCAAGTCAAGTACGCGGGTGAGCCTTATTTTCAATTCGTGCAGACAACTTGAATACGCAGGCGGGTTTCATGTTTATCTGCAAATGTAATTTTTACCGTCTACACCATTATAATTTGTAACAGTCATATTTATGATTGTTTGTGACCCTTGAGCTGATCTTAGAGGCCTATAAATAGTGCCCCTTGGGGCAGCTCTTGGAGATACGAAAAACACATTGAAGTGTTTAAGCTATTATGCTGCTGCTGCAGAGTTTGAAAGCGTGTAAGATTTAGTCTGTGCCCGAAGGAACAGAGCCCTGAACCGAAATGTTATTACAGATCGAAAAGATATTTGTCTTAACCGAAGGTTTTTGAACCGAAAGGTTTTAACAGATCAAGGAGATCTTTGCCTGAACTAAAAAGTTTTAACTAAAAGTTTTAACAGATCGAGGAGATCTTTGCCTTGATTGAAAGGTTTTAACTAAAAGGTTTTTTGGATCGAAAGGTTTTAACAGATCCAGGAGATCTTTTCCTGAACTGAAAGGTTTTAACTGAAAGATTTTGAACCGAAAGATTTAACAGATCGAGGAGATCTTTGTCTTGATCGAAAGGTCTTATAGATCGAAGAGATCTTGACAGTACTTGTTCGGTGCACACCAGTGTACTGTACTGCTGTTCCTAGAAGCAGTTTGGTCTTAAGATCCTTACATCGGAGTAGGCCAAATATTACTTTAAGCACAGCGTTTCATAAGCGCGCACAACAACTAAACTTGAATTTTTTTTTTAATATAGCACTTCAGCTATTTATTTATCTATTTTATTCTGGATTTAGCCACAGTTTGCTAACAAAATTGACATCCATGTTGAATTGTGCAAAAGTTAAAGATTTCAACTTGAAATCTTACTATTTTTAAATACATAAAAAAGAAAAAGAATTGAAAAATGTACAGACTACAGTAATCTCATTTATTTTATCTATATACTAGAACTAAATGTTCATTGCATTGTTCATAGCACTTTAGAGTAAATTTTCCACCAAACCCAAACTTTACACTTATTTATTTTTAAATTCATCCACTTTCAGAATTACTCTCATAGGAAAGTGTCTATAAACCCAAAGCGTTGTCCTATTTAGCTTTGAACCCTTGTACTTCTAAAAGAGATTTTTTTATTTATAAATTAAAAGTTCTACTTTCATTAATTTTTAAACTCACCTCTGTCAAAATTACTTTATAGCACTGTTCATAGCACTTTTTGAGTCAATTTTCCTCAAAACCCAAATTTTAAACTTATTTACTTTCAAATCCATCAACTTTCAGAATCACTCTCATTGGCAAGTTCCCATAAAACTCAAAGTTTTGTCCTATTTAGCTTTGATCCTTTGTACTTCTAAAACGGATTTGTTATCTATAAATTAACAGTAATATTTTCATCAGTTTTTTTAAATCTATCCACTTCCAAAATTATTTTAAACGCATTTTCCCCATAAACCCAACATTTATTTCACTTATTTTTAAATCTTTTTTTATTGAATTTATTTTTAAATCCAACCACTTCCAAAAAGATTGTTTGCTAGAAACTAAAGTTGACCTTCATTTATTTTGGATTAATTAGATTCTAGTATGGGTGAACATAAAGTTTGGGTATTGACACGAATAACTCTAAGACCATCTCCAACGCAGCGGCATTTTGTAGCGAAAAGTGAAAATGCCGCTGCGTGGGAGCTCCAATCGAGCGGCATTTGTTGCCGCATTTTGACGGGGATGAACAGCGCGACGCTATATTTGGCGTCGCACTGTTCATCCCCCATTACTGTTTTTTTTAATTTTTTTATTTTTCAATTTTTTTTAAACCTCATACTTTTATATATTTACAATTTGTCCCCAATTGTTTCATTAAATATATAAAACAACCCCAATAATATTTAAATTTTATAATTTCACCCCAATTGTATAATGTGGACAAAATAAATTATCATGGCTATCTTTTCTCGTTCGATATCAAATGCTTCTTGCCTGTCCAAGCTCGCCTTGTCTAACCTGTCTATAAGTCGATTGTTGGAGGTCTCGATGGAGTCCACTACACTTGACTCATGATCATCATTTTTCCTTTTCAATTTAGCTTTTTTTACCCCAATAGGTCGTTCAGATGGAGTAAATGATGACAATCCAGGAGATGTTGATATAGGAGATTCCGGAGTGGGATTATCTGATTGTGACGAGTCGAAGTTCACACTTTGGGATTGTCTTCGACCAACTTGTCTTGCTGTGGGGACATCATCTTTGAATTTTTCGAAATTTTTAACCATATTCCAGACATGATCAAATTTGAAACCTTTTTTGTACTTCGGTTCTTGCATAAATAACATCTTTGCTCGAACTAACTGTAAATTATAGTGAACATCAAGTTATGTATTTCAACAATAATAATAAAATTCAAACGATAATTAATAGAATACTTACAATATCTTCATCTGAAGCACCACTTGGATTCAGATTCTCTACTTGTCTCAAGCACGCATTCAATTTTCTTACTTCATTACTTATTATTTCCATTCGAGAACGAACTGATCAGCTCGTACACACCTCAAAATGCTGATCTCGAAGTTCATTGTATTTGTCCTCCACACGAGACCAAAATGCATCTCGAGACTGGTTTCTACCGATAATAGGGTCTTGAGAAATATCCAAGAATACTTGACAAAGGAGCACATCTTCAGTAACCGTGTACCCAGTTGATCGAACAGACATTTTTTTTGTAAAAAGTGGTTGGTTTGGAGATCAGAAATACTTCGAATTGGGTGGTTTGAAGTAGAACTCGTGAATGTTATTTATAGCCAATCCAAATTTGTTTTTTTTGTTTGAATTTGAATTTGCGGTTGGTTTGAATTTGTCGGTGGTCAACATTTGAAATTGAATCATTTTGTACAAACTGATCAGCTTTACACATTATCCAACGTTGTCGGTGGGAATCAATTTTTGAAATCAGGTCAGCTTTGCACATTGTCCAACGTATACACAGCTCAGCTCTCCTTGAATTGTGTGAAAGCTTTGTACGAGTGGGAATCAATTTTTCAAATCTGTCAGTTTTACACATTGTCCAACGTATACACAGCTCATCTCTCCTTGAATTGTGTGAAAGCTTTGTACGAGTGGGAATCAATTTTTAAAATCAGGTCAGCTTTACACATTGTCCAACGTATACACAGCTCAGCTCTCCTTGAATTGTGTAAAATACTATTACGAGTGGGAAACTATTTTTGTAATCTCAGAGCTTTACACATTGTCCAACGTATACACAGCTCATCTCTCCTTGAATTGTGCGAAAGCTTTGTACGAGTGGGAATCAATTTTTGAAATCAGGTCAGCTTTACACATTGTCCAACGTATACACAGCTCATCTCTCCTTGAATTGTGCGAAAGCTTTTAAAAGCAAATTTGAATTTTGTGACAAATTGATAACAGCTGGAAAGCATTTCCTAAAATCAGCTCAACTTTACACATTGTTCAATGTATACAGCTAAGCAAAGTTTTATAAATAGCATACTAGATTAGGTACATCCACACAACTACTCGTTGTTGTGTTAAAATTATTATTCTCCATTTCTGCATACTTCAGTCATTCTTTTCTTACTTCAAAAATGAATTTCGATGTTGGAGGTCCATCATACTTATCATCATCTTCATCTTCGGATGATGATAATTTTCTGTCCAATATCATTGCAGAGATTGATGAAACCGAAGAAGTAATTTGTGAGTACATCAACAACAACATGATCCTCGTTAACAATTTACGTCAACACAACTACCAACCAATCCATGGTGGCTCGATTCCCGGTCATGCAGTGATCAACCGCGATCGAGAAAATGCGCATCAGAATTTGGTCATTGATTACTTTGCCGATAATCCACGTTTTGGAGAAGATATGTTTCGTCGTCGATATCGGATGTCAAGAAGTTTGTTCCTTCGTATTGTTGATGCAGTGAAAGATCATGACTATTACTTCCAACAACGAAGTGATGGACTTGGTAGAATGGGATTATCACCGTTACAGAAAGTAACAGCTGTTTTTCGCATGTTGGCATACGGTCTACCAGCTGATGCTACGGACGAATACGTTAAAATAGGTGAGTCAACAGCAATTGAAAGTATGACAAAATTTTGTCGTGCTATGGTGGAAATATTCGCAGAGCGGTATCTACGAACGCCTAACGCTAACGATATTGCTAGGCTACTCTATATTGGAAAAAAACGTGGTTTTCCAGGAATGTTAGGAAGTCTTGATTGTATGCATTGGAAATGGAAAAATTGTCCAACAGCATGGTCTGGGCAATACACAGGACGTAGTGGGTCACCAACTATTATCCTCGAAGCTGTGGCAGATTATGATCTTTGGATATGGCACGCATATTTTGGTATGCCAGGCACCAATAATGATATCAATGTGCTGGAGTCATCTAATCTTTTCTCTAACCTAGCTCAAGGTATTGCTCCTCCCGCTCACTATGTTATTCAAGGAAAAGAGTATAATATGGGTTATTATTTAGCTGATGGTATATATCCGAAATGGGCTACTATTGTACAAACAATCCAACAGCCACAAGGTAGGAAGAAAAAATATTTTGCCATGAAACAGGAAGCATGTAGAAAAGATGTAGAACGTGCGTTCGGAGTTCTCCAATCACGATTTGCAATCGTGGCAGGATCAGCACGTTTTTGGAAAAAACATGTATTACATGACATAATGACTGCATGCATTATTATGCACAATATGATAATCGAGGATGAACGTGATCTTTATGCACAAATTCAAGAAGTGAGGGAAGCACCAACACCAGAAGTTGATATGGTAGCAGATGAAACTACAAGATTTGGTCAATTTATTGCACGTTACGAAAAAATCAAGGATAAAGATGCCCATGTTGCGCTTCGTAATGCATTGATAGATCATCTATGGGAGGAATACACTAATTCAGATAGTTAAGAGCATACTAAATTTGTAATTTTTACATTGTTGTTAATGTTTAATTATTTTCTTACATTTTATTTTCTGTTGTGTTCTTGAATGTAATATTTTGGCAATATCAATAATAAAAATATAATATTTTAGCAATCAAGTTATTTTAATTAATAAAATAATATTTTATTGTTTTATTAGTTTAATTTTTTAAATAATAAATCATTTTGTTTGGAAAATATGTGAAAAAATAAAATTTGATATGTGAGGTTAATTGTTGAAATAGTTAAAAATATAGGGGATAAAAAATAATCATATAAAAGTAGATAAAAGAAAGATACTGAGAATATTTTTTTTTGGTGCAAAAAATGGTGCAATGGGTTGGAGATGAATTACTGTTAGATGTGACTTTTGCACCATTTTGGTGCAAAATTTGCACCATTTTGAGGCAAAGGGTTGGAGATGCCCTAAGGTTTCTAACTTGTATCACTGTAGCCCAAAATCTAATGGTTTCTCCAACCCGTTTATTTTTTAGTAACATGTCAACTATCACAATATGGGAATTCCTAAAGTACCCTTTTTACTCTATGGTACGTTATGGTACAATGTAATTGTACCCATGACCCTGGGTCTAAGTATTTGCAAAGGCAGTCCTAATTAGTCCCTCAAATCATTTTATAAAGAAATTAGTCCTTCAAATCTTTAATTATTCGGTCAAATCTTCAATTATTCCCACAAATCTTTAAAGTTCCTCATTAGTCCCTAAAATCATTTTATAAATGGGTTATTTAGATACTGGTCCTATAAACCTTCAATACTTCCATATTAGTCCCTTAAATCTTAAGAAATTTCAAAGATTTGAGGAACTAATAAGGGATTACTAGAGATATGATGGACTGATTTTTAAAAACCCTTTCACAAAAGAATTTGTTTCTTAATAGGGCTAATTGTATATACACCCCTTAAATCATGTGTATTTGCAAAAATACCCCCAAAATTTAGTATTTGCTAAACACCCTCAAATCATCAACTTTGGAAAAAATTTCCCTAAAATCAACAAATCATCAACTTGTTGCTAAAGATTTGAATATTTTGTTAATAATTTTTACATTGCAATTACAATTAGATTATCTAAGTTGATGATCAATTATTTAGGGTAATTTTTTTCTAAATTTAATGACTTGAGGCGTAGTCTTGCAAATACTTAGATTTGAAGGGTATGTTTGCAAATACCCATGAGTTAAGTGATGTATATACAAATAACCCTTCTTAATAATTAATTTGTTCAACTTGTTCCAATCGCTGAACTTAGTATAGCCCCCTACATTTCACTTAAGCAACTTGAATTAAATCCACCAAAATAATGAGAAAATTGTATTTGCATGAAAGGCCATTTTTGTCTTTTCATATGCAAAGTTAAGCTCCATTAGCACTTTCACACTGCGCATTATACTCAGGGTTACCCTTGTAGATACCCAAATTTTAGGATCACCTATGTAGTTACATCATACTACAAGGTACCGAAATATATTTAATCCATTTAGTTTTAAACTTGCCCACTCCCAAATCACTCTTAGACCCAAAAAAAAGGAAAAAAAAATAAAAACTAAATTATTTTCAACCCAAAATACAATGTACTTCGTATATTGTAAATAACAACTATAAATTATCTCATAATACTAAAAACAACAGTAAAATAGGAGAAGGGGTCCTCTACATCCTAAATTATAGAGAATGCCTATAGTTATATAGGTGGATAAATAAGATTAGTTAATACAATGGGCCCCACAATAGAGATGGTTTTTGTATAATTTATTTAATTAATATAATACATGGGTTTCGTAGAGTAAGATAATGGTATTGGTGAGTTGTAGGTATCCTTTACAATCTAGGATATAGAGAATCCCATGTCATAAAATAGATTATTTACTTTTCCTATTTCATGATAAAAGTTGCTGCTACATAAAGCAAGTGCTCAAATTATGCATCAACTTTTTTTACTTTCATTCTAAATCAAATGCTTAAATTAATATTTTTGACTTTTTTCACATTAATATCAAAGCGTCTCGTGAGTCAATTTTGCTCGTCCGATACTAAAATCATTGGATTTACCACTTAGTGCACCTGCAGGTTATCTATACATACATTGATGCAGTAATATCTATAGTGGACCTGCGGTTTGTTTATACATACGTTGATGCAGTCAAATTAAATAAATAAAGTGGTTAGCCCAATGGTGAGGGCCTCTTAGCTTATACGGATAATCAAGAGGTCAATTCTCCGCACTTATAATGTTTTTTTTTGTTTTTTATCTTTTAAGCCCAAACCTTTACCACCCATTTTTGTAAACCCTCTCACTAAAAAAAATATTACCTGTAAGCCTAAAGGTTTTACCCCCATATAATTTTAAACTTAACCAATTCACAAAGATTTTTTGCCTAATAAACTAAAACTTTTACCCATATTTGATTTTAAACTCACTCCCAAATTCAAATTTTTTTTTTGAAAGAAAACAAGTGATATGCCCTGTCATTATATTAAAGCCAAAAAATAATTACAGAAAAGAGGATACTAGATGTATCCAAGATTGGAAATTAGAAAATTATATTAAAGCCAAAAAATAATTACAGAAAAGAGGATACTAGATGTATCCAAGATTGGAAATTAGAAAAAGTAGTTTCTCAAAACAAGTGATATAAGAGGATACTAGATGTATCCAAGATTGGAAATTAGAAAAAGTAGTTTCTCAAAACAAGTGATATATAACCTTCTTCTTTCAAACATCCATGAAGATGAAAAGAGGGCATTGCCGTCATTCACCGTTGACACAGATATAAGAAAGAACCAAAGTCAGCCATATATATTATAACGAGAAACTAAATTTTCTAAGACCCAATACAACAAAAGAATAACTACATACTATGTTTATATACCAAAAACAAAATATAATCAACCCTCTTTTCTTGCAGACATCAAGTTCTTCTTGCAATTGGTTCTTCTGCCAACTTAGCTGATAACTTTTGAGCTGCAGATCCACTTCCGAAGCCTGTCCATTCATATAGACAATATATAGCCGAGTTTGTAATATCCTTGATAGAGAAGTTTGTATGATCAAAGATATACTTATTTCTAGCTGTCCCTAAACTCTAACAGACAGAAGAAAAAAAGCTTCGCCACAAAAGTCCATAAAGATGCTTTTGATTCTCTAAAATTATAAAAAGCTCCTCCAAAGAATTCGGCCAAATGAAAGGTAAGCTGTAATTCATGAAATGTTGCCATATTTGCTTAGTAATCAAACATGAGAAAAAGAGATGTTCCCTTGTCTGAGATTCCATTCCACAAAAGGAACAAGTAATGTCCCCATTCCACCCTTTTGATTGTAGAATATCTTTTGTATGAAGTCTGTTATTAGTGAGAAGCCAAACAAAAATACGAACTTTAGAAGGAGCCAAAGGATTCCAATAAGTTTATATATAGGGTTAGTCACTCCTCTCCATCTCAGAAAACTGTAAAAAGATTGAACAGAGAAAACTCTATCAGAGGTAAGAGACCAAGTTGGAGAGTCTGGGCTATTGAGAACATGATAATTCTTGAGAAGATCCATGAGATAAGTTTTGTTGACTTGAGTTGCCTGTGAGATACTTCTCCTCATCAACAATTGCTATTGCCACATGTTATAATGAAAAAGACCTTGGCTCCTGACAGATACATTGGTGGAGAGAGCTAATTTGTATGAATCAGGAAAAACACTTGCTAAACTATTGGCACAAGCTCATTTATCCTCCCAAAATCTAATGTTTTCTCCTGAGCCTAGCACCCATAAATATTGTGAAAAAAAAGCATCCTTAATAGATATAACAGCATTCCAGAAAGAGGAGTTTGAGTAATTGAAAGCTCGAGATTGTAGATTTGTGCCTGCATGGACATAAAGCTTGTGAAGGAAATCCTCTGTTGTTGTTGTTCTATGTAAACACTTCCATAACCACTTTGATAGAAGAGAAACATTGAACAAAGATATATCTTTAACTCCCAGTCCACCCTTCTTTTTTACTTAAACATATTTTTTTCCAATTCACTAAGCATTTGAAAGAATTGGAGAAAAAGGTAGAGAATAGTATAGAGGAATAAAGGTGAGCACTGAATTTAGGAGAATCAATCTCCCTCCAAAAGATAAAGAATTTTTTTTCCAAGTAGCCAGCTTCCTGTAGAGATTATCCAGAAGAGGTTGTCAATCAGATTTAGATAGTTTCCCATATTTAAGAGGTAGGCCAAGGTACTTGATTGGTAAGTAATCAACCTTGCAATCTAAAGAAGATGCTAGGGTCTGAGCCTTAAGATGCATTTTTCCAAAATATATGATAGATGATTTTGAGCAGTTAATACTCAGACCAGACATGTCTTCAAAAAGGTAGAGAATAGTTTTGAGAGTTGAAATATCCTTTGAAGCACTTTTAACAAAGAGAAGTGTGTCATCAGCAAATTGTAAGATCCTCAAATGATTGAGAGGTTCTCGAAGCCCAAGAGAAGATAATAAACCCTCCTCAACATTATTCATAATCATTTTATAAAGAACATCTGCTGCAAGATTAAATAACAAGGGAGATAATGGATCACCTTGCTTAAGGCCTCGTTTACAAGAGAAAAATTTTGTAGGTGTACCATTGACAAGTACAGCACAATTAGATGATGAGATGATATACAGGATCTATGTACACCACCTAGAACCAAAGCCTCTTGCTTTCAACAAACTAATGATGACATTCCAATCAATAGAATCAAAAGCCTTGGCAAAGTCAATCTTGAACATAGCAACTTCTTTTTTCCTTTTAGAACAAGAATGTATCATTTCATTAGCTAAAAGAATGGAGTCGAGAGTTGATTTCCCTGCTTGAAAAGCAGATTAGGTGGATGAAACTAAAGATGATACCAAAGGGGATAGCCTATTTGCCAAAAGCTTGGAGAAGATTTTGAAGAGGCAATTAATAAGGCTAATAGGCCTGAAATCTTTCACCGTGGAACATTCCTTAATTTTAGGTACCAGAGTAATGAAAACTTTATTGATTCTATGCAAAAGAGAAGGATCCTCATGAAAAAAGTGCATTAGAGTACAAAGGTCTTCTTTAATCAGATTCCAGAAGGTTTGATAAAAAGCCATAGAGAAGCCATCTGGTCCTGGTGCTTTGTTAGCATTCATACTAAACACCGCATTTTTAATATCAGCCTCAGTGAAAGGCTCCTCTAAGGATAGCAAAAAAGACTCTTGTTGAGGGTATAGAGTAGACCAGTCAATATGCAGTTGGTTACTATTAGTCTACCCAAATAATCCATAATAGTAATCATAAAAAGCATTGGAGACCTCACAATCTCCCATGAGATCTCTACCATTATGTTTAACGGTAGCAATAAAATTAGCTTTCCTATGATATGAAGTTGTTTTGTGGAAAAAGGAAGTGTTAGCATCACCTTCTTTTAACCATTGCACACGAGACCTTTGATACCAATAAGTTTTTTCTTCTTTGATGATAGATGTGTAGGAAGAATGAAGAGACTGTCTTTCATTGGATTCCAAATCCGTTAGATGTCTTTGCTCCTCTAAAAGATCTAAAGCATTGATTTTGGACAGAACTTCTGTTTTTCTAGAGGAAATAGAACCCAGAACATTTTTCTTCCATCATTTTAACCTTTTCTTAAGAAGTTTTAATTTCAGAATAAAGACATCAACAGGGTTTCCTTTGCAATGAAAAAAATTCCAACAAGACGCAACATAGGGAATGAAGTTAGGGTTGTGTAACCAACTTCTCTCAAAACGAAAAATAGGTGTTGAAGGTTTTATACCTCCACTATCAAGGATAATCGCAGAATGATCTGAACCTGAAGCTGGTGGGGAAAATTGAATACATGAAGGAAAATTATTATCCCATTCTGAGTTGATAAGAAACCTATCAAGTTTGGCCATGGAATTGCTTAAGGCCTCGTTTACAAGAGAAAAATTTTGTAGGTGTACCATTGACAAGTACAGCACAATTAGATGATGAGATGATATACAGGATCTATGTACACCACCTAGAACCAAAGCCTCTTGCTTTCAACAAACTAATGATGACATTCCAATCAATAGAATCAAAAGCCTTGGCAAAGTCAATCTTGAACATAGCAACTTCTTTTTTCCTTTTAGAACAAGAATGTATCATTTCATTAGCTAAAAGAATGGAGTCGAGAGTTGATTTCCCTGCTTGAAAAGCAGATTAGGTGGATGAAACTAAAGATGATACCAAAGGGGATAGCCTATTTGCCAAAAGCTTGGAGAAGATTTTGAAGAGGCAATTAATAAGGCTAATAGGCCTGAAATCTTTCACCGTGGAACATTCCTTAATTTTAGGTACCAGAGTAATGAAAACTTTATTGATTCTATGCAAAAGAGAAGGATCCTCATGAAAAAAGTGCATTAGAGTACAAAGGTCTTCTTTAATCAGATTCCAGAAGGTTTGATAAAAAGCCATAGAGAAGCCATCTGGTCCTGGTGCTTTGTTAGCATTCATACTAAACACCGCATTTTTAATATCAGCCTCAGTGAAAGGCTCCTCTAAGGATAGCAAAAAAGACTCTTGTTGAGGGTATAGAGTAGACCAGTCAATATGCAGTTGGTTACTATTAGTCTACCCAAATAATCCATAATAGTAATCATAAAAAGCATTGGAGACCTCACAATCTCCCATGAGATCTCTACCATTATGTTTAACGGTAGCAATAAAATTAGCTTTCCTATGATATGAAGTTGTTTTGTGGAAAAAGGAAGTGTTAGCATCACCTTCTTTTAACCATTGCACACGAGACCTTTGATACCAATAAGTTTTTTCTTCTTTGATGATAGATGTGTAGGAAGAATGAAGAGACTGTCTTTCATTGGATTCCAAATCCGTTAGATGTCTTTGCTCCTCTAAAAGATCTAAAGCATTGATTTTGGACAGAACTTCTGTTTTTCTAGAGGAAATAGAACCCAGAACATTTTTCTTCCATCATTTTAACCTTTTCTTAAGAAGTTTTAATTTCAGAATAAAGACATCAACAGGGTTTCCTTTGCAATGAAAAAAATTCCAACAAGACGCAACATAGGGAATGAAGTTAGGGTTGTGTAACCAACTTCTCTCAAAACGAAAAATAGGTGTTGAAGGTTTTATACCTCCACTATCAAGGATAATCGCAGAATGATCTGAACCTGAAGCTGGTGGGGAAAATTGAATACATGAAGGAAAATTATTATCCCATTCTGAGTTGATAAGAAACCTATCAAGTTTGGCCATGGAAGGCATCTTTCTTTTATTGGACCAGGTGAAAGTCCTACCAGATAAAGGAAGATCAATAAGGGATGCCGAAGAGACAAAATCCCTAAAAGACTGAATATCTCTAAAAGATCCTTTACCAACATTTCGTTCATCAGAAGATAAAGTAACATTAAAATCTCCGCAGAGAATCCAAGGCCCAGGAAAAATGGATCGAATACGATCTAACTCCCACCAACAAACTTCTCTGTCCTCTCTATCATAAGGAGCATAAACAGATGTGAAGATGAAAGACCAATTTGACGATTTATGATGAAGATGGACAGAAACAGAGAAGACACCCACATACGATTGAACTAGAGAGAAATCATCAGACCACCCAACAAGAACTCCACCCCTTGAGTCAATAGAATTGAGATGACACCAATTCACAAGTCTTCTACCACCTATAGATTGAAGCTTCCTTGGAGTAGGATCTGCCAATTTACTTTTTTGCAAGCCAGCAACATCAATAAAAGAATGAGTTAAAAAATCGTTGACCAGACATCTTTTAGAAGGGTCATTAAGACCTCGAACATTCCATGTTGTAAATTTCATAGATAACAAAATCAAAACAAACCCCAAAACTAAACGATCGGCAAGCACTTAAAGAGACTTATCATGTCTCTCCACTTCTTTGGATTTGATGATATCCATAGATTCTTCCGATAAAGTAACACCACAATTATCAGCAACAAGATTGAAAGCATTCTTATCTAAGGAATTAATCGGTAGAGCAGCAGTTGATGAAGAAGAAGAGGAAGCTATTGTACCTTTCTTTGTCGATGGAGCCATTTTTTTAGCAGAAGTAGCTTGCTGGAGAAAGCTCTTATGCTTCCTGCTAAAAATAGTCTTCCGAACTGAACGAGAAGAGGTAGAAGAAGCTTGACGGCGTGGAAAACCCGGTGGAACAGAAGTAGTAAACTGAACAGAAGGAGTAGCAGTTTGTTTTGGAGGGGAGGAGGTAGCTGAAGAATTAGAATTTGCTGAGTCAGCTTTCCCGCCTAGAAAAGATTCCCATGTGGATTTCTCAATAAAAACAGTTCGACCCTTCCATGTTTGCTTGACCAGGTCAAGGGGAAAATCACTGAGAGAATCAAGGATCGGATCAGAGTTAGTTACCATTCAAAGGCTCCTCCTCAATAATTGTCTTCGGATCCACCTGAATAGCAGCCGGATTATCATGCTGAAAATCCTCATCCATAACAGCTGTTGATTGAATTTGAAAACTTTCTACAGGTGGCACATTGCCAGCTCGAGATTCCTGAAGATATACTGATTTCAAAGCCGGTGACGCAGTTTCCAGAATACCCTTCCCTTTGTCAACCATTGATTTAACCATAATATCACCCATAGGAGTAGCAGACAACTCAGCCAGAGGAGCTGTTATTTGTTCTGACCAGAGGGACTCTAAAACCACGTCTCCTTGAGCTTTCATATCATTGAGATGTAGCCCTATAACTTCAGGACCTAATTGACCAACACCAATAGGAAGGATATCTAAAGTGACTTGTCTTGTGAACGAATCAATCTGAGAAGTGTAAGAGCATACAATAGTTTTTGGAATACAGTCCGCTGCCTTTACTTCGACAAGAACACGAACATCTTGATGACCGTTTAACTTATCTTTGAGATTTTTGCATCCGCTAACCATTTCACCAAAAGTACCAATAATCCTCTCGAGAATATCCATAGACCAAAAATGAAAAGGGAGATTTTTAATTTTGATCCATTGATAGAAAGCAGAATCTACCACTTTCATATCAATATTTTCAGTCCATGGCGCAAACCATCCTTTGAACTTTTCAAAGTCACGCGATTGAACATCAACAGCCTCTGATAACTTAGAAAGGGATGGAAATTCCACTAAAAATCTGTTCCCCAGGATAGGGATAACCTTTCCTGACCACATCTGCAATTTGAAAAGCCAAGAAGGACGAACCTTGATCAACTCGAGGGACGGTGACCCCTCTGTAATTGTAAGAACGGCAAAGGAAGAAAGAACCATGGCATTATCACAAAGAGTAGAAGAATCAGACAAAGTCCAGTTTCTTCTCTGAAGGACGTAGATGGGATCTACAATTCTTAGCAATATGTCCTTCCTCATGGCATTTGAAACAGATAAAAGCACCTTTACGACAGAATTTAGTCGTATGCCGGTCATCGCCGCAGCTGAAGCACCTCTTAGGCTCTCTGGGATTCATATAATCTGCAGGAAATGAATGACGCAACAGCTTGCTATCCATAGCACGACCTCTTTTCTTCCGAGAAACAGAAATCCACCCTTGATTGTCCCTGGAACCTGAAAATCCTAAAAGCTTTTGCGATGGGGGAAAAGCAGAGGTTTTTTTTATGAGGAAGATGGTTTTCAAAGAGAGAGTTGAAAGGACGAGGAAAAGCACAAGGGGGACAAGGCTTTGGCATCCGAGCTTGTGAAGCAGAGTTGGAAATGGGGAAAGAAGGATTTTTAAAAAGCTTGGAAATGACATACCCTTTCTCTAGATCTTGAGTGACCTGACGTCGGGGTGACGAACCAAGAACACCATGATATGGTTGATGACGTACCTGAGTTGCATCATCCTTCGCCAACGCATCTCCTTCCTTTGCCCTCGTTGCAAACGCTCCTCTCATCCTCCTCTACTTTGATTCTTTTTTTCTAACTCTTCGTTAATTGTTTAGACGCTGCTGACAGCCTTTGAACAACTAAGACATGGAAGCGTTGTAGATAATTTGAGTAGGTAAAGCTTGGGATAATTTCAATGGCAAGACCACTCCCAAATTCAATTTTACACCCAAAAACTTTACTCGGTTATTTTTAAATTCACCTTGTATTTTCAACAATTTGATATGTGGTGAAAGTTACTATATGGTGTGAGTTGCTATGCTCAGATGTAACCTTGGCTGTGTTTTCCACTACGTATACAATGTATTATTAAACTAATTACTTTAACCATGTGTTTTTTTTTTTACAACATTATTGTTGCAACCACTTTAAACCAAATACTTTACCTCATTTATTTTTAATTATAAGGGTGCTTGCAACGGTCCCTAAAAGGCCTAAGAGCATCTCCAACTCAACTCCAAAAATCCATTTTGATGCAAATCCAGCTTCAATTCTTCCTCCAACCCAACGCCAAACTTAACGTCATTTTAAAGGGGTGCTACAATGTTGCGCTAGGAATGACGCAACACTGTAGATATGGAGATTTTGGTTTTTCCCAAGTTTTTCCTTATAGTTTGTTATAACAAATCAAATATTCCAACCATATCCCATTTTATAGTTTGTAAATAGAAGGAATATTCTTTTTAATGTAAAATTTGGTGTAATAGTTGGAGATGGAATAGTGATTTGGTATAAAAACTACACCAACTTGGTGTAAAACCTACACCATTTTGGGTTTTTGAATCGGAGATGCTTAGTAACCCCTCATTAATGTTGTTTAATAGTTATTTGCAATTTGATAATCTAAAAGTTTACACAATTCTTTAACTTGATAACCCAAAGTTCTTTTGACAGTTTGATATTCCAATATTTATAGTTTTTTTTCCCAAAACTTTGATACCCCAATTTGTTTTCTGACTCTTCATACCCTAAAATTTACACATTAACTTTTACATCCCTAAGTTTCTATATTTTTCTAATTTGTTACCTTAAAGTACAGCCATATTTTAACTCTAATATTAAAGTCAAAAATAAGATTTTAGGGCATGAAAGATAAAAAGGTATAAACTTTATCATATCAAAGTGTCAGAGAAAAACTTTAAGTATTAAATTTAAACATGGTGTAAACTTTGGGACATTATCAAAGTGTCACAAGAACTTTAGGGTATTATACTTAAAAATTTTTAACTTTAGAGTACCAACATGCAAATTAAATAATCTTTTTTTGACTAAGATGGATTTTCCAAGAAACATATAAATGAGGGTATTTTGGTCATAGAGGGACCAAATTGCATGACTCCTTAAGATTTGAGGGACGACTGAGTAATTTCCAAGATTTGAGGGATTAATATGGAATTATTGAAGATATAAGAAACTAATGTCGAAATAACCCTTAAATTTTAAACCCACCTACTTTTGAAAATGATTTTCTTCCTAGAAACTAGGTTTTACCACTACATTTATTCTTAAATCCACTCATTCTTAAAGCTACTTTTATATTTCAATAGTTTGATATAAAATGTAAGTCTTCATCTTTTGCTGCAACTTTGCAAATACTTTTCTTTTAACTGACTAGTGTTAGCTTGACTCGGTCATGGATGACCAAATCAACAACGGTTTCTCAGTAGAGAGAATCGTGGAGAACGTGAATTGGGGTTTGTTGAGAGATTTTCTCTCAGAGGCAGTTTGAGGGGGGTGGAGATGATGGGATTTATAGCCTATATAAAGGATTGTAATCTACTTGGAGAAACACAACAAGAAAAAGAAAATCAAGCCCTCTTACCCATTACCGGAGCCCCCCTCAACGAAATCTATTATTTTTCTCTTCTTCTCTGTGATCAAACACTGGTATCAGAGCCAGGTTGATCTCATCGCCGCCCCCTTCGAGCTCTGTGTTAATCGGCCACCTCGACTACTCTGCTGCGACGATCGATCGACGATGACAACTCGACGACTGAAGGAGATCGCAGGCCTCGAGATCGAGATTTTTTTTTGAGAAGAATAGAGAAGTCAGACGCCTCTTGCTCTTTGAGGTTAAAAAAAACCCTAGCTATATCATCACTTAACCGAAGACTAACTCTTCCAACTTCTGTTTCTCTTTGAAATCAAAGCCAAGCCCATTTGTTTGAATCAAAGTCTGGCCCAATACCCCACAACAAGGTTACATATCCCATTCATTGTTTTATCAAAGACAAATCCATCTGTTTTTTTTAATCAAAGCCAGGCCCATGTTCATGTAACTAACCTTTACAAGGCCCAATCTCCCACTATCCTACGTTCATCTAAAACAACCAGAGCCTTAAAAATTCACTTTAGCCCCTGTACAATTCAATATACTGTTTTCAATCAATTGGTATTGTCCGAATATTCCTTTGCAAATTCTATTCAGTGAGCACGACGACAACATCAAATCATCTCCAAATCCAGTCAAAAACGACGCCAAAGCTTCGACAACAAACCCTTCGGTCAACACCGCTAAGTGACAAACTCGCTCAAATTGGAGCCTCTTTCATCAGCTCACAAAAATCAGGTTCATTTTAATTAATTTATTTATTTATCTAATTTTTTTTTGTATTTGCCAAAATATCAACTTTATACAATTATTTAAAATTGAATTTAGTTTTAGTTCTTTACCGAATGGCTAGTAAACTCGTTCTATCAGAACTAGGCAAAATTGACAAATTTAATGGCAGTAATTATGATATGTGGCATAGAAAAATAGGATATGCTCTTATTCATAGTAATTATGATATGTGGCATAGAAAAATAGGATATGCTCTTATTCATGACAATATTGATGATATAATCAAAACTACTGCTCCAACCCTTACTGATAAATCTACACCTGAAAAAAAGAAAGGGTTTAAACAGTGGAAGTCGAAAGATAAAAAGGCGAAAAGTCTTATGCTCATGTTCATGGAAGATAACTTAATCAAAGTTTTTGAAACTTATAAGACTTCCATGGACATGTGGAATGCAATAAAAGAAAAATACGACACTGCTTCTGAAGTTAACATCCAACTACTCTTGCATAAGTATAATTCTTGTCGTATGCAAGAGGGAGACAATGTCGTAGAGCATATAAATAAAATGATTGTCATGGCTAAGGACTTATCCACTGCTGGGACCGAAATCCCGGAAAGAATGCAAGTAGCAACCATTTTGAATAGTCTTCCCCCTTCACTTGCTGTGACTGCCACCACATTAAGAATGAATCCTGCCATTAAGTCTGTCACTGATCTTCCTATGCACCTAGCGATAGATTCACTTGCTGTGGCTGCCACCACATTAAGAATGAATCCTGCCATTAAGTCTGTCACTGATCTTCCTATACACCTAACGATAGAACAGGACTTAATAGCCAGTAGGAAGGAACCAGAACTGAATATGGTGCAGCAAGAGTTGAATTATGTCCGCCAGAAGCATAATGCTGGAAGCTATAAAAACCCTGGTTCTAGTAAACCACAACCACGAGGACCGAAATCGCAGCAGTTCAAGAGAAAGAAAGTACCCCGCGGAGCCTGCTACAATTGTGGAAAGTTCGGGCATTTCAAACCTAATTTCCCACAAGGTGAAAAGTAAGAGAATAAGGGAGGCTATAAGCATCCAGAACAAGGGGGTACTAGCAAAAGAGAATTCGTCGGTGTGACGGAATGTAATGCTGTGATGACGAATATCAGTGGTTGGTGGATCGACTCCGGTGCGACTAGGCATATCGCAAAGGACAAGAATGGAGTCGTAGAATTCACTGAGTTGAAGAAAGGAGAACAGAGAATCTATATGGGAAATAATACCTATCTCGATGTAGAAGGTATTGGTTCGTATAGATTGGATCTTAGGGACAGCATTCTTGTCCTCAAAGATGTGTTCTATGCGCCAGGAATTCGACGCAATCTGATCTCTGTTCCCAGCTTGATGAAGAAAGGACTGGAAGTGAGGTTCTATAATAATAGGGTTTCTATAGGCAAGAATAATAAAGTGTATGCTATGGGAAAATATGTGCCCGAGCATGAATTATGCATTCTTCCAGTAGTTTGTAATAATTCTGATAATAAAATTTCGAATTTGAACTACTTGTCCTGTTATATTTCTGAATCTGAATTGTGGCATTCTAGACTAGGACATGCTAGTATTTCAAAAATGAAAGAAATTATCAGAATGAACTTGCTTCCTGCACTATCTAATGTTCAATTGCCACCATGTGAACATTGTTTAACTGGTAAAATGACTAGAAAACCTTTTGTTGGCGGACATAGAGCCAATGAACTTTTAGGGTTGATACACTCGGATATTTGTGGTCCCCTAAGTGTCAAAACTCATAGTAATAAAGAATATTTTATTACTTTTATAGATGATTATTCCAAGTTTGCACACGTCTATCTTATATCCAGAAAATTAGAAGCTTTTGACTGCTTTAAGAGATATAAGATAAAAGTTGAAAACCAACTTGGATTTAAAATCAAAATTCTGAGAACTGATAGAGGTGGAGAATATAATTCTAAACAATTTGAAAGTTATTGTATTCAACATGGAATTAAAAGGCATAAAACAATGCCGTATACGTCACAACAGAATGGTGTTGCTGAAAGAAAGAACAGAACATTATTAAATGTAGTTAGATGCATGTTGTCTCATTCTGGTCTCTCTAAAAACTTTTGGGGAGAAGCATTGTTAACTGCAAACTACATTTTAAATAGAATTCCCACCAAATCAGTTATATCTACACCTTATGAATTATGGAATGGGAGGAAACCTAATTTGAGTCATCTCAGGAAGTGGGGATCTATAGCCCATGTTCTCATTCCATGTCAACTTAGAGATAAGTTGGATTTTAAAACAATAAAGTGTAGATTCATACGGTATTCAGAAAAGTCAAAAGGTTATAAGTTCTACAATAAAAAAAATGAGTCATTGAAAGCAGAGATGCTACATTTCTAGAGAATCTAGAGGAAGAGGAACAAGTTCAAGAGGAAACAGAACCTCTAACTGTAATAGATGATGATTATTACAGTGTTGTTCCCACTAATGACCCTGATATTGTGAATGAACCTAACCTTGAAAA